TAATCAACAAGACTACACAGCAGGGGGACAAATGCTAATAGGGAAAATACTGGTGCTGGGAGATAGAGATGGGGTGGTCAAAGCACGCTTTCCTTAGAATGCAAACCGCAGGAGCTTCCATCGTGGTTCAGTGGTTAAGCTGAGGCACTTTCATCACAGGAATGCAAATTTGATCTCTGGTCCGGGAATTAAAATCCCACATGCCAAAAGAGAAAGAAAAGGTCTGTTTTGCAATCTGCACAAGTTACCCTCAAGCAGTGACACATGAACTCCGTGCTAACTACCTTTACCCTGTGCAGCTTGCCAGACACCTAAGGTTGGTGCTATTGTTATCCTCACTTTGCAGATGGAGAATTAACAAGAGACGGTAGAAGGAAGACATTTAGGTGACTGAGGTGTCATGGAGAAGTCTTAACCCGGGAGGTGATGACAAGATCAGTTACTGCGTTTTGCAAAGATCCCTTGTGGCAGTCGAGCGGAGGATGGCTCAATTCCCCGGAGAGGATGAATAGGTCAAAGGGTGCATACATTTCTAGGGCTCCTGATAAACACTGCTTGCGGTGCGTTTTGGGGCCATCTGGGGAGCTGTTTTCATTCGCCCATGGGTTTCAGGACAGCATCGTCCTTTTTCTCTAGCACCAACGGGCGCCCGGACTTGGCCTGGGGGATGGGGGCTGCCTCCTAGAATGCGACTCCCAGGCACCGCCCATTCGCGTTCCCTCAGCAGGGCCAGGCCGGCGTTTTCTGGCACTCGGAGGCACCCGTCCACGCCCGCCTCCACGTGACCCAAACAGATTCGGGCACTTCCGCCTCGCCTAGGCTTTCTTCTCGTAGGTGTCCGCGGCTGGTCAGCAGCCGGTGAGTGAGCAAGCACCCGGCCGGGGCCGTCGCGGGCAGGGTTGGGCGCTGGTGGGAGGCGCGTCGCGCTGACCCTCTTCGCCGTCTTCACTCCCCCCTCTCCCCAGGACCCCGCGGAAGCGGCGGTGGCGGCGTCATGGCGGAGCTGACGGCTCTGGAGAGTCTCATCGAGATGGGCTTCCCCAAGGGACGCGCGTAAGGGAGCCCCCTAACCCAGGGCCGCGGGGGTCGCGCCTCTGTCCAGGCCTTTACCCCAGTCTGGCCTCAGGCTCTACGCCCCAGCCTGATCATCTCCATGGCTCGTGGGCGCTACTCACGGTGTTTCTGCCCTCAGGGAGAAGGCTCTGGCCCTCACAGGGAACCAGGGCATCGAGGCTGCGATGGACTGGTGAGCACTCAGACCGGTGGCAGGGGCCGGGGAACTGCTGAAAGGGCAGCCTGAACGTTAACCTCGCTCCTGACTTTCCCTGCCAGGTTGATGGAGCACGAAGACGACCCCGATGTGGATGAGCCACTAGCCACCCCCCTTGGACATGTCCTGGGACGGGAACCCACCCCTTCGGAGCAAGGTGGCCCCAAAGGTCCTGACTGAGGAAAACAGTGTGATTATTCAGGAGGGCCCGAGGAGGAGGATGAAAGGGTAATAATACTGATTGTTTGTTTGTATGTAGGACCTGGGTCTGCAGTGGGAGAAGGCAAACCTGTTTTGACTGAAGAGGAAAGACAGGAACAGACCAAGAGGTAGGAAGAACAAGCTCACATTTCTGAGAGTCACTTTCCACCTCTCCCCAGTACACAAATCTGGTCAAAGAACTCTCACTTACCACATTGTTTTTTCTTGGCCTTTTCCTTCTTTGTTTTTTTTGTATCTGTTTTGGGACTCTGTTCTTGGATTTTGTTTTCTGAGTCCCTTGTTATAAACTCACTTTCCCAATTTATATACATGTCTCTTGAATGGTTTCCTTTCTGCAACATAGGATGTTGGAGCTGGTGGCCCAGAAGCAGCGGGAGCGTGAAGAAAGAGAGGAGCGGGAGGCATTGGAACGGGAACGGCAGCGCAGGAGACAAGGGCAGGAGTTGTCAGCTGCCCGACAGAGGCTGCAGGAAGACGAGATGCGCCGAGCTGCTGAAGAGCGGAAGAGGGAGAAGGCTGAAGAGTTAGCAGCCAGGTCTGGGTTCTGGGACATGGGTCTGGCTAAGACATTGGAAAGGAATCAGGATTTGCTATGTCAGTGTCTGACCTCCTTGTGTCCTGTTTGCATTCCAGACAACGAGTCCGAGAAAAGATCGAAAGGGACAAAGCAGAGAGAGCCAAGAAGGTAGGTGATTGGGTGGAAACCCAGGATAGTGAAGTGCGGGGCGGGGCAGTAAATCCCCTTTTCTAGCTTCAGAGGGCAAGGATGGGCTGAGTGCTTGATTACTGAACTTTGTCTTCTAGTATGGTGGCAACGTGGGTTCTCAGCCATCCCCACCAGCAGCAGAGCCAGGCCCTGTTCCCTCCTCTCCCAGCCGGGAGCCTCCCACAAAGCGGGAGTATGACCAATGTCGCATACAGGTACTGATTCGGATTCCAGTCTTGCTCCTGAGACCCTTTGTTGGCTTACAGGGCACCCAGCCGAGCCCAGCCCAGAGCTTTTTTCAGTTATGTTCCTTTTGCCAAGCCTTTCCCTTCTTTGTAAATGACTTTTGAAATCCTACCTCCTCTGCTCTGAGGGAAGATATCAAATTTCACTTGCCCGAGTCTTATTTAAATTCATACCTCTCTCTTACTCAGCAGTTCCCTTCTTACTTGTTCATAGTGTTTTCATTTAGATTATGTATCTGTTTGCATGATGTGGTATCTGTCCAAATGTTTTATATAATTTTGTGTTATGTTTTCTTTAAATTGTGAGGGAGCCAGGGGTGCTGGCTGAGTAAAGTGCATCCTAAGTGGTTGTTCATTAGGTGTTTTCAATAGTAATTTTCCTGGTCCAGGAGAAGGACCAGGAAGTGGAAGGAGAAGCCAACTTTGCTCTTTTTCCTTACTTGGGCACCTAACTCAGTTATGACGCTCACAATACAGTATCTTTCTCTTGCCTTCTAGGTCCGGCTGCCGGATGGGACCTCACTGACCCAGACGTTCCGGGCGCGGGAACAGCTGGCAGCTGTGCGGCTCTACGTGGAGCTCCACCGCGGGGAGGAGCCAGGCGGGGGCCAGGACCCTGTGCAGTTGCTCAGTGGCTTCCCCCGGCGGGCCTTCTCAGAGGCTGACATGGAGCGGCCTCTGCAGGAGCTGGGTATGACACGTGGGATCCGAAACCAGGACTTGGGGGGTAGGGGAAGCTGAGAAGAGAAGGGATGCAAAGAAGGGACTTCGTATAGAGATGGTGTGAGGGCAGAATATGGGGCGGTGGGGCAAAGCAGATATCTTTGGGTTCAAATCTGTTTTCTTCCATCTTCAGGACTTGTGCCTTCTGCTGTCCTCATTGTGGCCAAGAAATGTCCTGGCTGAGAGGCCTTTATCCCACCATCCCTCTCCGACCTCTCTTCATGTTTGATAAAGCACTGACATTGCCTTCTTAATAAATAGACTCTCTTGAGTTCTGTATGTACCTGACTCCTTCCTGAATGGCTGGGAGAGACAAAGAAGGCTTTCAGAATAGACACTATGCTTTATCTTAAATTTCCAAGGGAGACTTGTTTCTAATCTCCGGGTCTGACTAGTTGCCTGCGAGGTTAACTGGAAGGTTAAAGTGGGGGCGTACATTGGATAGCACATTTTGCTCTGTGAGTAAGACAGTACCTAAGCTTGAAATCTTTACTGGCTATGTGCCTTGACTTCTTAAGTCTAGTTTATTCTTTGGTAAAATCTGGATAATAGTACCTGTTATTTGGGGTTGTGGGGGTTACGTAATGCTTTAGCACAGTGCATGACACCTAACGAGTCCCCAGTTACTAGCTACTAAAAGTGTAGTTTTTAAAATGTGGCCATTCACAAAAAGTATTGAGTACTTAATATGTACTACAAAGTTTTAAGTACTATATATGTATTAACTGAGATATGAAGGCAGTATTATCTAGCAGTGGGTACAATTATCCCATTTTAGAGACTGGGACGTGAAAGCACATGACTTGTTCAGACTGACACAGGTAGCAATTAGTAGAACCTGCACACACTCCTGGGGAGCCTGACTTTCAGGCTCAGGCTCTGAACCGCCAGGCTCCTGCATTCTAGCCTCTCTTGCTCTTGCTGCTCACCTCACCCTCGTGCTCCCTCAAGCAGCTGCCTCCTTCCTCTCATACCTTGGCTAGGAAAGAGGCCACAACTAAACTTAAAAGATCACACGTGACAAATTGTTTTTGACTTCACAATCTAGAAGCACAAAACCACACCACTGCTCATATGTGGGATCAGACCTCAGTGTTACCAAGCTTTATGTAGTGTTTCAGCTTTAATGAAAACAGCCTCCCCTGCACCCCACCGTTGCAATAGTTTGGAACCACACGATGGAAAAATAAAAATGAGAGTGAACTTACTGACTTGGCTGTGGGGTTGCCACCTCACTGACAGCTTTACCTCATCCCATCAGTGGCATCTCCAATAGATTCTATGATCAGATTCAGAGACTGAAAACCACTGCAATGAACACCTTATGAGAGGAAAGCCCCAGTGCATTTAGTGAGAGACTGCCCTGTGCCTGGCACTTACATTCCTAAGTTCACCTTTTGACCACAATTCTCAAGATAATTGGCACCTTTATGATCAGGACTTCCCAGGTGGCCCGAGTGGCAAAGAACACCCCCACCACTGCAAGAGATGTAAGAGAGATGCAGGTTTGGTCCCTGGGTTGGGAAGATCCCCTGGAGAAGGAAATGGCAACTCACTCCAGTATTTTTGTCTGGAGAATCCTATGGACAGCTGGGTTACAGTCCATAGGGTCGCGGAGTCATGACTTAAGTTGACTTAGCATGCATGGAACAGGAGGACTGAGGCTCAGAGAGGTTCTGTAACATACAGGAATTGAAACAAGATCTGTCTCAGTACGCTCCGTTTTACTAGTTCCACAGTGGCCTCCAAAACTTAAGACCAAAGAGGGCATCATGGCACATGCTAGTTGCTAAAAGCCCCTCTCCAACCTCATTCGAAAGACAGGAACCCAAAGTGTCCTCGGTGGGTGTTTATTGCACAAGAGTTTCCAGGCTAGTTATAATCTCAAGAACGTCACTTGGTTATCCACTCCCACAAACAACAGGCCCTGACTTGTGTTTTGAAAATGTCGATTGGGATTCAGCCTCGCATGGGGCGGGCGTGGCAGGCGGCAGCCGCACTCCAGCCCCGCCGCAGCACAGACCCGCAGAACACTTGGCTTTTATGGGCGTCCAACCGCAGGGCTCACTCTCTGGATGGAGGAACATGGTTTATTGATTCCTTCAGTTAGCCACAGCCCGCGATGTGGACGTTAAAACGTAGTCCGTGCAAGCTTTGGGAGAGAGTGCGCTCACCCGGCGGCAGCTCCCCAAGTCACGGAGAGGCCTGCGCTTGGGATCCGGGTCTGGACTCCCCGCCGGCCCACGGAGGAGTCAGGCCGGCTTGGGAGCCTGCGCTGCAGCATAAATCCCGGCGCCCAGGCGGGCAGATTCTGTCTCAGGCTGACTTCCCGCCGCCGCCATTCATCCAATTCTTTCTCCAGGCGACGTTCTCTTGCGTGGCCGCTGCTTCCTGCAGAGTGGCCAGCAGTAACTGTTTGGTCCTGGCCGCCTCGTCCCTGCGCTGCGGGTCCTGCTCCGGCATCTCCTGCGGGCGGAAAGAGTGGTTCGCAGCCCCGGCCACCAGCCTCCTCTTCGCCCGCCCATCCTCCCCGCTGCGTCCCCTACGGCTCCCACCTTCAGCATCGCCTGCTTCCGCTCCTCTCCCGGGGTCACAAGGGCAAAGAGCGCGGTGCCCACGCCAGCCCCGGCGCCCAGCACTGCGCCCGCGAGCAGCAACTTGTGCAGGTTCTCCATGGGCGACCGCGTGACCAGCGAGGCGACCTCGGGAGCCTCCAGTAGCCTAGCAAGGCCGCCGCGACGTCTCAATCTGCGCAGGCTAGAGCGCCCCACACAAGAAACCATAGAGACGGGCCCGGGCTAGAGAGGACCTAACCAGAGACGTTTCGAATCTGAAGCATCTAGGTCTTAATAAGTTTAGCTGAGAAGGTTGAGCGCATCAAGAGGTGTTGGGACCCAGGGCTTAGAGTGGGACCCCTTGTCATGAAATCCCGAGTAGGATTGCTAACGGGAGAGTGTCTTCATGGTTACTGTGAGTTTTACAGTTGCCCAGGTCCGGAAGCTCCAGATGAATAGAAGGCTAAGCCTGAGCTCTGTAGTTTCCTAGGATTACTTGTGCTTTGTCGAAACTGCATTATGTCATGGACGTCCACGTGTTTATAAACATCAGTCTGTTGACTCTCTTCAGTCTCTTCAATCCTGAGCAAAAACTGAAAAACCAAGTGTACTGGATGGGGAAAAGGATATACGTTTTCCTTTTATTTTACTTGGCAAAAGCAAAAGTTGCCTTTCTCTTTAAGGTGTATAATCTTGGCTTTTTTTTTTTAACCATGAAAACCAGGGATGTTGGGTAACCTACCGAATTCTAGTTTGGTGAAGAAAACACCTCTTAGTTGTGTGACTCTGGATAAGTCATTTAAGTTCTTTGTTTTCTGGTTTCTGCATCGGAAAATGAGGCTAATAACAGTGCATATGGACATGTCAATGGACATGAATTTGAGCAAATCCTGGGAGATAGTGAAGGACAGGGTAGCCAGGCATGTTGCAGTCCATGAGGTCACAAAGGGTCAGCCATGACTTAGCAGTTGACCAACAGCATCTCACAATTTTAGGATAATTAAACAATTTATATGAAAAGCATTTAAAACAGTTCCTGGTATCAACTACAGATCTACAGATTGGCACTTGCCGAGAGCATTTGCCAGTGACTGAACAGCAACAATCACTGTTGGATGGCATCACTGATTCAATCAACGTGAGTTTGAGCAAGCTTCAGGAGTTGGTGACAGACAGGGAAGCCTGGTGTGCTGCAGTCCATGGGGTCACAGAGTCAGACGTGACTGAGCTGAATGAACAAAAACAAGAAGGGCACTTGCCGTCTGCCTGTGTTGCTGCAGCTGCTGACCTCGACACTCCCTAAAGGGAATTCAGGGTGGAGAGTGAGGCACTCTGTGCCCCAGGGAAACTGGTGGAACAGGTCTTTTAGATAGTTCGATATTTTCAGGAACTGATTTCATGATCTCATTTCTCGCACCTCCTCATATCTAGAAAAGCACTAAATCCCTTCATGGTGATGTCAGCTCCTGCTCCTGACTAGCAGAAAACCTTTTATAAAATGAGTGCCTGATTGCACTGAACTCCCCCTTCACCAAAGTCGTTTATTTTGACTTTCCCCGCTGCTTCTTTGGAGCAGTCTCTCAGATGTGAGGGACTGTCTCCTGGGCTGCAGTCTTCATTTTGCTCCAAATAAAACTTTACTAACAACTGTCACATTGTGCCTTTTTTTTTTCCTTTGGTTGACACTATATAAATATTCATTAAATAAGTTACCAAGAAACATGTCAATTTGGGAGACCCTGTAAGAATCAGGAAATTTCAAACTCATTATCAAAGCTCTTTACTCACAGGGCTTTAATCCAAATGCCCTCCTTAACTCCTACTCCTCCTGCTTTTCCCTGTGTCACCAGAGTGAGTGCGCTCCCCTGGTGGCTCAGATCCCCTGGAGAAGGAAATGGCTACCCACTCCAGTATTCTTGCCTGGAGAATCCCATGGACAGAGAAGCCTGGCAGGCTATACAGTCCATGGGGGTCGCAAAGTCTCACACGACTGAGCAACTAGCACTTCACTTCTTCCCACCTCCTGGGATTGTGCCCTCCCCTGGAAGGCCCATAATCTCCTTGCACGTCAGCCTCTCCTCAGAAGTGATTAAGGGGCTCGGCTCCAAAGCGATTAGAGGAGCAGTCTGTGGGGTGCACTGGGCAGGAACACTCTGAGTCCAACCGCCCTACGTTCTAGAATCAGCACCCATGGCCCTTGTGCCAGGGAGCAGTGAGGATGGGCCTTGGCCTAGAGATAGCCCAGGCTCTTCCCAGCATCCAGAAAGTCCTAGACTGACCAACCCGCTTTGGAAGGACAGAGGAGAAATTGACAGGGTTGAAGGTCACCAGGATGTCCAGGTTAGTACTTTCCCACCTTGTGTCCTGCTGTTGGTTCATCCTCCACTTTGGCCCAGTTCCCCCGCTGAGCCCATCCAGGTTGTGTGTCCGCAGACCCGCCTCCCCTCCATTGTGGTGGAAGCCTCTGAGGTGAGTGAAGAGAGTGGGGAGCTCCGGTGGCCACACGAGGAGCTGCTGCTGCTGACTGGCGATGAGGAAGAGGAGGTTGAGGTGTTCTTCCAGGACCAAAGTGAAGAACCAGGTGAGGGAGGAGGCTCGTTCAAACGGGGCTGTTGTGAACTGAATGTTCTAAGCAGAACAAGAGGGACAACTTAGTTGTGTCCCCTGCATTAAGCAGCACACAGTAGGTGCTCAGTAAACATCGTGAAGAGAAATGTAGAGGTGGGAGATAAAAGTCAAGGTGGCTGAGGTACTTTCTTGACCGTCCAAGTCCAGATCCAGTGGTTGGGACTCTGAGCTTCCACCTTGGGGAGGAGGAGAGGGCGCAGGTTCAAGCCCCAGCAGTAGAATTAAGATCCCATGTGCCATGCAGCTTGGCCAAAGAAATGAAAACGGTCAAGTTGACGAATTTTTTTTTTTTTGGCCGCCGTGCCACACAGCTTGTGGGATAGTTAGGCTCATTTCAATTGCTGTATTATTTTTATAAGCAAAAAGTATTAAACAAATTTACCTTTAAAAAAAAATCCAGTCAGGTACCAGGTATGTTTCACTGTTCTTTTATTATATATTTTTCATTGTTAATGGGTTCTTTTACTCCCCACCCTCAGCTTGGACTTGGCGCTCCCAGGACCCTAAGTCTCCCTTAAGAACCTTTAACCCAGAACTCAGCTGGGGGCAGGAACGGGTAGATCAAGATGCCTCCTGGATCCCAGAGGACACAGAATGTCCGGAAGCCCCCAATCCCTGTCCTCTCTGGGACCCACCATCAAGCTCCCATGTCTGCAGAAGCTGCTTTGTGGAATATTCCCATTTCCTGCCTCCCAGGAGCTTTGAGGGTAAGTATCATTTTCTCCCTCAAACGTTTTATCTAGGTTTTTGAAGCCTTTCCATCCATCCCTTCACAGTCTTCCCCATGTACAAGTGAGAAAAATGAAGCTTAAAGGTTAGACCCCAGGGTCACACCAGTGATAGTCACGGAATCTGGATTAAGAATTCTCATCTGTGCTTTTAAGAGTTCAACTAGTTGGGGATGGGAAATAATCCACTTGTACCTTTTCTATTTAGCACTCATTTTGTGCCTGGCACTGCTAAATGTTTTACCTGTCAGTTGTAGGTAATCACATAACTATGTATTATTCCAGCCTTGCAGGTGAGTAAATGGGGCACAGAAATATTCAGTATTAGGTGCACCCATCTAATAAATGGGGAAACCAGGACCCAAATTTTCCAGTCATCTTGCAAAGACAGAAGTTTTCTCCACCTCCTCACCCAACAGAAAACACTCAGATCAGGCCTAAAACATCTTTAATCAGAGCCTTGAATCACGTAAGCAAAGTAGGTGATGCCCCTGAAAGGGCCCAGCTCTTGCACAGTCACAGTCCAGCCCTGGGACCCTTTCTCTAGGCAGGGCACTCGCACATCAGGATCCTCATCTGAGAACTGAATCAGGGTCCCCTGGGGGCTTAGGACCCTCAAACATTCTGCCAGCAGCTGGTAAGCCCCAGGCAGACCACCCCGGGCAACAGCATCCCAGGTTCCCTTGTCCAGTACTAGCTGGAAGGAGCCTGAGGAAGCCACTGGCTGCAGATTCTGGCCATCAGCCTGCACGAAATGGAGGCTTGAGTCAGGGTGCCCAGGGCACAGGGGTGTCTGACCTTGGCCACCTTCCAGGAGACTGTTCATGTGGGCCACAGCTACAGGAGAGAAATCCACCCCCAACACGTCCACGGGGTGCGGGCATTTGGTATAGAGGCCTGTACATAAGCTGGAGGTCCCACAGCCCACATCCAACACCCGGGCTGGACAGGCAGCCCGTGCCTTCTCCAACAGCGGCAGTAAGAGCCCCTGGGCTTCTTCGTATCCAAAGAACCAGTCGAAGGTGCGGACGCTGCCCTGACGGGGTTGGGCATGGAGCTTATCCCAGAGGGAACGGTCTGCCAGGCAGCTGCCAGCCAGGGAACCTGCGGACGAGGGGAGGACACGCATCACCCAGCGCCCGGTTCTATCAGACTGCTATCAAAATCGGCGCCATGTGCCTTGGGGTTTTAAGAGGCACAATTTCAATGAGCAGACTCCCGGCTAACGAAGAGCCCAGCTTGCGCTCCCACTGTCCACCTTCCCTACCCGCCACGGTGCGGCGCGTCCCCGCCGCCAGGCTCGCCAGATGGAGGGTTCGGCGCAAGGCAGCCATCCGGAGGTGCCGGCAAGGTCGCCCAGAGAAACTTCTGTGAAAATGTCGCCCGTACTCCGGCTGGGCCCGAGATCCAAGTGAAGATTTGCAAAATTCTCTGTGCGGAATGACGCGTAAAGCTTCCCTACCTCTGCAGCTTCAGAAAAAAGAACGCGGACACAAACTTAGTACCGTACGAATGACCTTTTATTGTTTGCAGCGGGAAGTGAAAGAGGGGATATGGCAGCTCCGTCTCTTGGGGTGGCTCCACAGACCTAAAATCAAAGGAGAAGGTGTGAGTACCCCCGGGAGGAGCCTGCTGAACCTCGGTTCTGCCCTGCTCCTTGGAGCTCAGTGTCCCGGCGCTTGAGGATAGAACCGGCGGATTGCTGGCCGCCGGTACCGAAGACATGACGCCGAGGGGGCCAGAGCCCGTTCCCTCTACCTCCGTACATTACGCGGATCGGGACTGCACGCCCGACCCCCGCCAAGAAAAGGAGGGTCCACAGGCACCGTCCCCCTCCACAAGAACACCAGCCCGATCCCCGTACTCACCTGGCCACACTCCCTCAGTCGCCGCCCTCGGAAAGGCTTATGTGCGAGCCGGGTTCATTTATATAGTGCCAGGGCCCGCCCCCGAGTTGCGATTGGCTGGCACAAAGCTGAGGGCGGGGCGCACACGGACCCTGCGCACAGCGGAAACGTGGACCCGGAGCCGGCCTTGCGGCGCAGCTATGGGTGCCCCGGGTGGAAAGATCAACCGGCCGCGAACGGTGACTCTGGGACCCCCCGATATGGTTTCCCAAGCGGGTCCTAGAGCCTTTATTCTCGCCCTAGATGGAGTCTATGGGCCAGTGTCGCCGGGTGCGTGGTCCCAGGTCGCAGGGCGCGGCCGCCCTCTGATTAAGCATCTTCCTCCCCACAGGAGCTGAAGAAGAAGCTGTTCAAGCGACGACGTGTGTTGAACCGGGAGCGGCGACTGAAGCATCGGGTGGTCGGAGCTGTGATAGACGAAGGACTGATTACGCGGCACCACCTCAAGAAGCGGGCGTGAGTGCCAGACCCTCTCTCCCTGGGTCCTTCCCACCAAGCCTCCTTCCCTCCTTGTCGAGCTCCGGAGCAGCTTAACACCATTTTGCTTTGTGTACTCACACTTATGCAAGGAAAGTTTGTGCCTAAACTTTGTTAGCCTCTCATATTATACCTGTAAGTCGCAACCTTTCTTCGGTTCTTGGACCCTACTGAGAACCTAAGGAGAGCTGTGGCCCCAGCCTCCCCAAGTAACATTATACATTCACACATTTCCTATAAGTAAATTTAAAAGCGTACACATGAGTGCGGTGAATCATTCGATGAATTTTCACAAAGGCTCGTGTGGGATATTGCATATAAGTTTCAAGGCCCCTTGGGTTCTTGGGGAAGACTTCTTATCCCATTCTTTCACTGACTTGTTTACGATAATATGTACTTTATGAATTGTCATAATAAATATATCTGGTCCCTGTCGGGTTTCTGACAGCTAAAGCCATTGGAATTTCCTGAGTGATAAGAGTGCGTTTTATTTCAAAAGGATCCCCTTTTGAGCATACCTAAATTTAAGCTGGGCTTCCCTCTTGGCTCAGACCGTAAAGAATCCGCCTGCAATGCGGGATACCTGGGTTTGATCCCTGGGTTGGGAAGATCCCCTGGAGGAGGGCATGGCAAGTCAGTCCAATATTCTTGCCTGGAGAATCCTCGTGGACAGAGGAGCCAGCAGGCTGCAGTCCACGGGGTTGCAAAGAGTCAGACACAACTGAGCAACTAAGCACAAATTTATGCTAATAGTGATTTAGGGTGGGCCTGGTCATCCAAAATACGTGATGAGAGGATTGGAAATGTAAGCCCTACGCACTGACCTTTGGCAAGGGGGCAGGTGCTGGAGATTCCTATAAAACCTCTTGATAGCTTCCTGATTGGTGAACAGGTGGAGTTGCTGAGAAGGTTTAGCTGGAGAAGGCATGGGAACTCTGGCCCCTTCCATGCCTTGCCCTATGCTTCTCTTCCATCTGACTGTTCCTGAGTTGTATTTTATAGTAAATTAGTAAATGCAAGTATGTTTCCCTGAGTTCTGTGAGCTGTTCTAGCAAATTACTGAGTTTGAGAAGGGGATCATGAGAACCCCAGCTTATGGCTGGTCAATCAGAAGTCTAGGTGACAACCTGGATTTGTGATTGGTATTTGAAGTGGGGAAACCCTGTGGAACCAAGCCCTTAACCTGTGATGCCTGATGCCATCTCCAGGTATACACTGTCCAAATCAAATTAAACTTGTAGGATGCCCAGTCCTTGTCCACTACAAATACAGAGAATTACTTGATGTGGGAAAACCTACTCTATCTGGTGGCAGAAGTATCGAGAATGAGAGGAGGAAAAGTTTCCACTCTATACTAAATTTTAGCAATTAATGTTACTTTCTGTATGTGTTAAGGTTAGTTTTAAGTAAGGTAACAACAGTTCTTTAACTTAGATCCAAAGACCTTTTCAGTAATCAGAACCACTGTGTGGTCTGTTTTGGTTCAGATTCATCTGGTATTTTTGCTCCTACCAACCTTTTAGGTCCAGTGCACGTGCCAACATTACTCTGTCTGGGAAGAAGCGCAGAAAACTCCTCCAGCAGATCCGACTTGCCCAGAAAGAGAAAGCAGCCATGGAAGGTGAGGCTAGGGCCCAGAAGTTGGGGTGATGCAGCCTGTATTCATTCAGGTTCTTTATTTTTTATTTTTTTTTATTTTTATTTTTTTTATAAATAATGCCAATTTATTAAAAAATGGAGCATACTGAACAACAAACTATCTTACATCTTTAAGGAAGAAAAAAACACTAAATTTGAAAAGACATCACCCACTGAATTTGGACACAGCACCTCTACTCAATTAAGAGAAACATTTGTACAGTCCAGGTCTTTATTTTTACACCCTTCAGGCCATGAATTCATAGGGAATGGGTTCCAACAGTTCAGGTTCCTTTCCATTGGTCCTCACAAAGTGTGCTTCTCTGGGTGGAGCAGGCTGGCGCTTCAGCTGAACCCAAGTCCCTTTCTCTTTGGCTTCCTTCTTTTTCTGATCATTTTCCTTCACACGTTTTAGGAAGCTATCTCGGCTCTTAGAGCGCTTAATATGCTCGATACGCACATTAATTCTCTTGGCAAGTATCTTGCCCTTAACTTGTTTGTTTACAATGATGCCAACAGCATGCTGGGTAACATTGTAGACTCTCCCAGTTTTGCCATGGTAACATTTGTGGGGCATTCCTTTTTGAACATTCAAGTACCCATTCCCTTGATATCTACAATATCACCCTTCTTGTAGATTCGCATGTATGTGGCCAAAGGAACAACTCCATGTTTTCTAAAAGGCCTAGAGAACATGTAGCGGGTGCCCCTCCTCTTTCCCTTTGTGTTGGTCATTTTGGCGAATTAGCCTGAGGGGCCAAGGGAGAGACGGGAGGCAGCGGGAGCCACGCGCGGGCCTTTACCTGGAAGATCTCATTCGGGTTCTTTAATGCTTCTTCTTTTCCTTTGTTCAGTGGAAGCCCCTCCCAAGCCAACCAGGACTAGTAACCCACAGCCCAAATCAAAAAAGAAGACAAAACCCCCCCAGGATGTAGATATGGAGGACCTTGAAGATAAGAGCTAATTCTGAATCTCACACCTTTTCCACCAGAAGATTCTCAAGCTGGAGCCAAGAGGACTCGATGGTTATTTCAGATGATTTTGGAGAGAGCATTGCTCCTTTTCATTCTCCCTGTATTCCTCTTTCCTAATGGCCTACTGACCTGCCCTGGAGGGATGTATTGAGAAAAAGAGAGTAGAAAAGAAAAATTGCAGAGGGAGTCCTAAGCAGTCAACTGCATTTGTAATAAAGCCTCCTCGTTCCCACTGAGATGTGTGTGATTAAATGTAGGAATTGGGATGGGAAAAGGAAAAGGGGCCGTGAGTGTGGAAACAAGACAACTGGAAAACAGGACTCAGAGCGCTTACTTGAGCAAAGGCAACAAGAAGTTAAGCTCCTTGGTGGCCCTGTCTCCCCAGTGACAAAATTTCTGACAAAACTGAGGATTACTGTAGAGATGTCGGAGGAGGCGAGGGTCCTGAAAACAGCCCTGCCACCTCCCCTGTGTGACCAGGGTGGAAAAGTGACCATGATTGTCTTTGCTTCCATTGCTGGATTATATTTTTAATAAAGTGAACATTATTTTACCCTTTTTACGCTCAGAAATTCTGTTTGTTGGAAGCCAGGGCAAGCTCCTGGAAGAAGGGATTTTGAAAATTTCAAACCTTCAGTAAAGTTGAGACAGCACAGTGAGCCCTTATGTATGTACTCTATCTGGGTTTACCAGTTTTTAACATTTCGCTCACTATACTTGATCTCCCTACCTGCTTGCAAATATGAGTTTGTTCAAGTACATATCATTGTTGTCTTTGCTGACTCTTGAAAGTCAATTGCAGGTGAGATTTTATCCCTATGGCTATGTTCTATATAGCCAAGACACCTAAGACACTTAACATTAGTGGAATAGCTAAAATTCAGTTTTTCATATTCAAATTTCCTTAGTTGTCCCAACAATATTCCTTATAACTGCTTATTGTTTCCTCAATCCAGAAACCATTAAGAATCACACATAGTATTTAATTGTCATGCCCCTTTAGTCTCCTTCAAATCAGAATACTCTTGTCTTAGATGACTTGGTATTTTTTGAAGAGTCCACTCAAATTAATAAAAAAAAATTAATAAAAGAGTATCTCACAATCTGGGTTTGTCTGAGTGTTTCTGTACATTTCCTCATCATTAGTTGTAGGTTAGGCATTTCTGGGAAGAATGTGATGTAGGATATTGTGTACTTCTCATGGCATATCATCAAGAAGTATATGTTGACTGAAAAATACACAAGATTGAGGGCAGGAGAAGGGGGCAACAGGATGAGATGGTGGAATGGCATCACCAACTCAATGGACATGAGTTTGAGCCAACTCTGGGTGATAGTGAAGGACAGGGAAGCCTGGCATGCTGCAGTTCATGGGGTTGCAAAGAGTCGGATGCGACAGCAACAACAACAAAAAGCTGAGAATTATGTTTGATTTGGCAGACTTGCAGAGGACTTAAAAACCCAGAAGACAGCCTCTCAAATGACTCTGAAGGACTGCTCTGAAGAGGTAAGGGAGGAGCCTAGAGAGTTTTTGTGACAAAAATCAAGTAGTCAGGGACTCCCCTAGTGGTCCAGTGGCTAAGACTGAGCTGTCAATGCTGGGGCCCTGGGTTTGATCCCTGGTCAGGGAACTAGATCCCACTTGCCATAACTAAGACCCTGTGCCGCCAAATAAATAAATAGAAATAAATATTTTTAAAAAGTCAGACCATCAAAGATTATCATTAATTAGACTTCTCAGGACGTCCCTGGTGATTCAGCAGTTAAGAGTCCATGCTTCCAATGTAGTGGATGCAATTTCCATCCCTGGTTAGGGAACTAAGATTCCCACAAGCCTCAGCGAAAAGATAAACTTACGGCAAAGCACTAGACCTCTCGAGTTAATGAATTTAGTGCTCTTTTTTTTTTTCTTCTTTTCACTCTTTTGCTATGCACCTTAACTGTCTATGGCTAGTATCCTGTTCTTTTCCTTCCTGAATTCCCTCGGGGTTCACCTCTGGGGATGGCTACAGAGGTTGTCCTGGTTTGATGGCCAGAGACCCTTAGAGGCAACTATAGTGACTGACTGCTTGATGGTCACAAGATCTCTTTTCTGATATGGCAGGCAGGCAACATTTTTTGTTCACATGTAATGTCAGTTTATCTCATTGGTGCTTCCAAGTGTTAAGTCAGTATCTGTTAGATTTTTCCACTGTTAAAGTATTCTTTTCCTTTATAATTAATAAGCAATCTATGGGGGCTTCCCTGGTGATCCAGTGGCTAAGATTCTGAGCTCCCAATGCAGGCGGCCTGAATTGAATCCTTGGTCAGGGAACTAGATCCCATATGCTGCAACTAAAGATTCTGCATGCCACAACTAAGACCACAACTAAGACAGCCAAATAAATGAATGAATGAATAAATATTAAAAAAAACAACAACAATCTATGGAGTGATACTTTGAGATTGTATGATTTTCCTATTCACAATGACATCACAACAATGGTTTTAGCATCCATGATGATCCTTACCTGAATTAGTTACTGCTGCAAAATGGTGATTTTTCTAATTCTATCATTCATTCATCCGTGTTACTCATTTGGCATAGTCTGTAAAGGAAACCCCTACTCTCTTTTTTAAAAAAATCTCATTTAGGTTGTTTTTCAATGTTTTAATCATCTGTTACTATCAACTTTTCATGCTCAAAATCATACCAAACTGACCAGCCAGAGCCTCTTTAAGGAGCTTCCTGTGGCTTAGCTGGTAAAGAATCCTCCTGCAATGAGGGAGACCTGGGTTCGATCCTTGGGTTGGGAAGATCCCCCGGAGAAGGGAAAGGCTACCCACTCCAGTATTCTGGCCTAGAGGATTCCATGTATAGTCCATGGGGTCACAAAGAGTCAGACATGACTGAGCAACTTTCACTATCACTTTGTGCCCTTTCGGGCTTTCCAGGTGGCTCAGTGGTAAAGAATCTACCTGCCAATGCAGGATACCCAGGAGATGTGGGTTCGATCCTTGGGTCGGGAAGATCACCTGAAGGAAATGGCAACCCACTCCAGTATTCTTGCCTGGAGAATCCTATAGACAGAGGAGCCTGGTAGGGTTGCAAAGAGTCAGACATGACTGAGCTACAGAGCATGCATGGATGCTGTGTCCTTTTGACACACCATCTGTATTTGAGCACTTCCTTGCTGTCGGGCACGAGATGTTCCAGGCTCACCTGCTTCTTCTCCTGGGCTAAAACTTGGTATCAGCCATTTTCCCAGGGAAACAGTATTATGTCCAGTTTTGAGTACAGAAAGGAAAAAGTGCTTGTGTGAAACTGAACTGTATTCAAGTGAAGTAGAGAGGGGAGAAACTGAGGGGAGAAGGAAAGGCAATTTCAACATCTTGGTATCTCCATTACCCTGAATAATTTTCTTCTACCCCTATGCCTGAAGTGGGAAGGATCTTGCTGAGTTCAAAGCAGAGTTTCTGTATCTGGTATTGTGCTAAGCTCTTAATACAAATAATCTGCAGTGATCTTTGCAAAAAGCTTGTGAGAAACATACCATTTTACAGATAAGGAAAGGGGCTCCAAAACAGCTGAGTCACTTGCTCACGGTTACATTGCTATTAAATAGCAGACAGGAATCCAGGTCTAACTCCAAAATACACATCCTTAGATCATGAAATCTTTAAGGGCAAGAACCACATAATAGTTTCACAGCTGGAAGAACTCCCCTGGTTCAAAAGTCACTTCTCACAGATCAAAAGTTGAGGGCAGGAGAAAGAAAGTGTTGGGTCCAAGTCTGAAGCAGAGCTGGGAGCAGAAATTGTCTCATATTTACTCTCCTAGAACATACACATTTTATGAATGCTTGAACTTTTAAAATCTAAGAACAAATATAGAACCACCAGAATTAATCATTTAGCTTTTAAAACACAATCAAAGGGCTCTGGTGGCTCAGAGGTAAAGAATCTGCCTGCCATTGCAAGGGACATAGGTTCAGTCCCTGGTCTGGGAAGATCCCATATGTCAAGAAGCAACTAAGCCCATGCCCCACAACTATGGAACCTGTGCTCTAGAGCCCAGGAGCCGCAACTACTGAAGCCCAAATGTCCTAGAGCCCGTGCTCCACAAGAGAAGTCACTGCAATGAGAAGACCCTGCACTGTGAAGTCAGAGATCTGCTATTACAATAGCCCCCGCTTGCCAAAACTGGAGAAAAGTTTGCGCAGCAGTGAAGACCCAGCACAGCCATAGTAAATAAAATTTTTTAAAAACCCTATTTTAAAACACTGTCACTTCAAAGTTACCTTTAGGACCTACCATCTGCTGTTCTTCTCACACTTCCATTGAGAACAGTAAGCTGTCTGGCTAATAAATGCCTCAGAACTTACTTTCTCTTTCATCCAAGCAACTATTAGGAACCAACTTAAAAAAAAACAAGGAAAAAACCCCCAAACCTACCAAGTGCCAGGCAGACACCATTATAGTATGTGATGACGGTGAAGCCTTTAACAAAAGCGTGAACGTCCCTGTTGCTGAAGACTTATCTTCTGGAGTTCATTGAAGAAAGAAAATAAAAAAGGCAATTGCATGTATAACGTTTACCTACCATTGCAGACACCAAGTGCTATACAGTAAAACTATTTTCTGGTTTCAATTTTCACAACAAGCTCCTGGAGTAAGTGTACTATTAACCATCGTAATTTCCAGAAAAGGAAACAGGTATAGACCGCTTAACTGAAGCACGCAGCCCGTTAGCGGAATAGCTGGAATTTGATCTAGATAGACGGGTTGGAGAAGGGTCTCTTCATAAGGAGTATTAGGTCCGCAGAAAGTTACCAAACTCTCTGCAGCAGGTGGGGGAAGGTCCCTCCTCTGGGAGACTGGGGAGCCTGAGAAGGAACGTGGACAACTTAGGGCTGGGAGGACACCTTCAGCGTGGCCAGCCCAATATATTTCAGGCTTACTCCCGTTCATCTCTTTTCTTGCCTTCTCTTCATCTTCTTTTGGGGTTTTTCTCCCTTTTCCGCTTCTCCTCCTTCCTCTCTCCTTTAACCGCTTTTCACCTTGTCTCTGGTTACTGATCAAAAGGTTTCCTAGTATTTCCTTTTTTTTTTTTTAAACCTCGAGAGTTGAACATTTTGTACTTTTGGCTTTAGGAAAATTAATGAAATCCAACTAAAGGGTCTCAGACAGCTTTAGTCGTGTCAAAGGCCCTTACTGGGGGGCGGGAGGATAGAGAAAGGTTGCGTAGAGGGTGGGTTGACTTCCCGCTGTCAACGGCTCAGCCTCTAGCTGGGACGCCGACTCAGAGCGGAACCAATGTGCGAGGGTCACGAACAGCGCCGGATTGGTTTTCTTGAGAAGCCTTTTCGCTGGTTCCTTTCGGGTTTCCAGACAGCGCGCATGCGCTCCCTGCGCTCCGCCGCTCCCGCCTCGGGCTCGGTCTAGGGCTCCGGGATGTCTGCGTTGTGCGACCCTCCCGGGGCCCCAGGGCCTCCCGGGCCTGCCCCGGTCACTCACGGTCCCGCGCCGCTCAGGTAGTCAGAGCCCCTGGCATCTTTCCCTCCCGCGCGGTCCCGCGCCGATCCCCAGCCTTCTCGGCAGAAACCCGGATCCTACCTCGAGAACTCGCGTCGGGGTTCTCAGAGATTCCTGGTCCGGTCTTCCCCGAACTCAGGGACTGCCTCACCAAAACTCTGGGCTCCAGTGCCAGCACTCCCAAGGTCTCGGTACTGCCTCCCGCTAAAGCCCAGTGTATCGTTACCCCTGATCCTGGCCTTGCTCTTCCAAGAGTTGGGACTATCAGTTTTGGTTTTTTTGGGGGAATATCAATTCTTGGGAACCCGGGTGCCCTGTCCTTTTTAGACCCGAGCGAACCCAGGGTCCCCTGACTTCATGGGCACTCCCTGAGCACCCAGGCCCCCAGAATCCCACAGAATGCTTTCATCTAGCCTTTCCCTCGCCCTCCAACGGAGACACTCCCCTCACCGTTGAGTGTTTTTATTTTTTGTTTTGGAGGAACCAGAGGAATGGCAGAGTCAGAGCCTTACCAGTCTCTAGAGGATGATGTCTTCTTTGGCAGAAAACTCACAAAGAGGAAGGGAATTTTGTCTCTTTCCATGATACTGCCTTCTGAACCTCTAAGACCGAACCTGTATGTTTTAGGGTGGGAAGGGCTGAAAGGCATTACCTTGTCTCTGCCCTGGGCACCTTGGTTCCTGGGGCATATTGAGGGTACTGGGACGGTAGTGGTTGTTGATGTGGTGGAGTCCAAGTGGTGGGTGGTTAGGGTGCTTGCTGAATATGGAAAGAAACAAGTTTGGGGAGGAAGAGCCCTTAATAAGGGGCAAATTTGGGCTTAGAATTTTCTTTCCATTAAGGGCAAAATCCAGGGTACTTGAGTTGTATGGAGGGGGTAGTTCTGTAGAGCTGAAAAGGTGTGTTTAAGGCAGATGTTATAGAAACACAAAATATACTTACTCAATTCAATGAATAATATTTCCCATATTCCAGGGGCTCCAGTAGAAGGGGATTCATTGTTGAAGAACAGAGAACTGTTAACTACCCTCTTGGAGTTGAGAGTCTGATTATTTAACCTTGGTTTCCTTCTCTGTAAAATGGGATCATAATAGTACCTACCTTACTGGGTTGCTATCTGTATTGAAATAATACACATACTTAAAAGAGAACTTGATGTATTCCAGGAGTTATACTGATTCTGTTGTTATTAAAAGAAAAGCAGCTTGCGTTTATTAATTAGTGTGAACTAGACATGCTGCTTCCATACTTTGTGAACATTATCTAATGAGGGAGGTTCAGTTATTCCTGTTTTACATAGAAAAGTACTGAAGCTCACAAAGGGCATGTAACTTGTCCTACACCTTCCAACACTCTCACTCTGCTTCTTTTGCTTCATTACAGTGCTCAGGAGCTGTCCCAGGAAATCAAGGCTTTTCTGACTGGTGTAGATCCTGTTCTGGGCCACCAGCTCTCTGCCCGGGAGCACGCCCGCTGTGGCCTTCTCCTGCTCCGCTCTTTGCCACCTGCTCGGGCTGCTGTGCTGGACCACTTGCGAGGTGTCTTTGATGAGAGTGTCCGGGCCCACCTGGCTGCCCTGGATGAAAGCCCCGTGGCTGGCCCACCTCACCTCCGTCCACCCCCACCTTCCCATGTCCCTGCTGGGGGTCCTGGTCTAGAGGATGTGGTGCAGGAAGTGCAGCAGGTGCTGTCTGAGTTTATCCGGGCCAACCCGAAGGCCTGGGCACCTGTGATTAGTGCCTGGTCCATTGACCTCATGGGGCAGCTGAGCAGCACTTACTCGGGCCAGCACCAGCGTGTGCCCCATGCCACTGGGTCTCTCAATGAATTGCTGCAGCTGTGGATGGGCTGTCGGGCCACCCGCACATTGATGGACATCTATGTTCAGTGCCTCTCAGCTCTCATTGGCAGTTGCCCAGATGCTTGTGTGGATGCCTTGCTGGATACCTCCGTCCAGCATTCCCCACACTTCGACTGGGTTGTGGCACATATCGGCTCCTCTTTTCCTGGCACCATCATCTCCCGAGTTCTCTCATGTGGCCTTAAGGACTTCTGTGTTCATGGTGGGGCTGGAGGTGGAGCTGGTGGCAGTGGTGGAGGCTCCTCTCAGACTCCCTCTGCAGACCCCTTCCCTGGATCTCCTGCCATCCCTGGGGAGAAACGGGTGCCCAAGATTGCCTCAGTTGTAGGCATCCTAGGGCACCTGGCCTCCAGGCATGGAGACAGCATCCGACGGGAGCTCCTGCGAATGTTCCACGATAGTCTGGCGGCGGGCACTGGTGGCAGGAGTGGGGACCCCTCCCTTCAGGCCACAGTTCCCTTCCTCCTGCAGCTAGCAGTCATGTCACCAGCTTTGCTGGGCACAGTCTCTGGAGAACTGGTAGACTGCCTTAAACCCCCAGCAGTGCTGAGTCAGCTGCAGCAACACCTGCAGGGATTTCCCCGAGAGGAGTTGGACAACATGCTGAACCTGGCCGTGCACCTGGTGAGCCAGGCCTCTGGGGCAGGTGCCTACCGCCTGTTGCAGTTCCTGGTGGACACAGCCATGCCTGCCTCCGTCATTACCACCCAGGGCCTGGCTGTGCCAGACACTGTGCGCGAGGCGTGTGACCGGCTGATCCAGCTGCTGCTGCTGCACCTGCAAAAACTGGTTCATCACTGGGGACCATCTCTAGGGGAAGGGTTGTTGAGCTCACCCCCACCCCCCCGCCCTGTGCCCTTTCTAGATGCGCTCAGAAACCACGTTGGAGAGTTGTGTGGAGAGACATTACGTTTGGAACGCAAACGCTTCCTCTGGCAACACCAGCTTCTTGGCCTGCTCTCCGTCTATACCCGGCCTAGCTGTGGACCTGAGGCCTTGGGCCATCTCCTGAGCCGGGCCCGAAGCCCTGAAGAGTTGAGTCTGGCCACTCAGTTATATGCTGGGCTGGTGGTCAGTCTCTCTGGCCTCCTGCCCCTGGCCTTCCGAAGCTGCCTGGCTAGGGTACATGCAGGAACTTTGCAACCTCCCTTCACAGCCCGGTTCCTGCGCAACTTAGCGCTACTTGTGGGGTGGGAGAAGCAGGGCGGTGAGGGCCCTGCGGCCCTAGGGGCCCGGTTCGGGGAGTCTGCCTCAGCGCATCTGTCTGACCTGGCTCCTCTCTTGCTCCATCCTGAGGAGGAGGTAGCGGAAGCTGCTGCCTCCCTTCTGGCCATTTGTCCCTTTCCCCCAGAAGCCCTGTCCCCTTCCCAACTCCTGGGACTTGTGAGAGCTGGAGTACATCGCTTCTTTGCTTCTCTGAGGCTGCACGGCCCCCCAGGGGTGGCTTCCGCCTCCCAGCTTCTTATGCGCCTCTCCCAGACCTGCCCGGCGGGGCTCAAGGCTGTGCTGCAGCTGCTAGTTGAGGGAGCCTTACATCGTGGCAACACAGAACTGTTTGGAGGGGAAGTGGATGGGGACAATGAGACGCTCTCCATTGTGACAGCTCCTTTGGCTTCTGCCTCCCTGTTGGACACAAACCGGCGGCACACTGCAGCTGTACCAGGTCCTGGAGGGATTTGGTCTGTGTTCCACGCTGGAGTCATCGGTCGTGGCCTTAAACCACCCAAGTTTGTCCAGTCACGCAATCAGCAAGAAGTGATCTATAACACCCAGAGCCTCCTCAGCCTCCTGGTGCACTGCTGCAATGCCCCTGGGGGTACTGAATGTGCAGGCTGCTGGGGGGCTTCCACCCTGAGCCCAGAGGCAGCCAAAGCAGTGGCAGTGACCTTAGTGGAGAGTGTGTGTCCCGATGCAGCTGGTGCAGAGCTAGCCTGGCCTCCTGAGGAGCATGCCCGGGCCACTGTGGAGCGGGATCTCCGCATTGGCCGGCGCTTCCGCGAACAGCCTCTGCTTTTTGAGCTGCTAAAGTTGGTAGCAGCTGCTCCCCCAGCCTTGTGCTACTGCTCTGTGCTGCTGCGGGGGCTGCTGGCTGCCCTCTTGGGTCACTGGGAAGCCTCTCGCCACCCTGACACAGCCCACTCCCCCTGGCACCTGGAGGCATCCTGCACCCTGGTGGCTGTCATGGCTGAGGGAAGCCTCCTGCCACCAGCCCTGGGGAATATGCACGAGGTATTTAGTCAACTGGCACCTTTTGAAGTGCGTCTGTTGCTGCTCAGTGTCTGGGGCTTTCTCCGGGAGCATGGGCCCTTGCCCCAGAAGTTCATCTTCCAGTCGGAGCGTGGCCGCTTCATCCGGGACTTCTCTAGGGAGGGTGGGGGTGAAGGTGGACCCCATCTGGCTGTGCTCCACAGTGTCCTCCACCGCAACATTGACCGCCTGGGTCTCTTCTCTGGCCGTTTCCAGGCACCTTTACCGTCCACTCTCCGGCAGGGCACATAGCCTTTCCATTCTCCAGAAGCCGAGGGAGGTTGAGCCATGAGAGAGGGGGCCAAGGTGCTGCAGAAAGGTGGGAGGTTTCTCTCCTAAGACCTTGGCTTAAAAGAGCGCTGTCACTTTCTTCCTCCCCACCCTTTTTTCTAAATAAAATTTGCCGAGTTGAGAAAAACAGGGTTCAGTGCTTCTATCTGATGTTTAGGGCCAGCCAAGTCGGACAGCGCCTGGCTCAACAATCCCGCCCCCTCCCTCAAGCCCCTCCTGGCACCGCCCCCATGAGCATTTAGCGTAAGCCCTCCGCCAATGGGACAAACGCCCGGCCTCTGTGTGGTCGGGCCAATCAGGAGGCCGGAAGGGGCGGGCACTAAGATACGTGGCTCAACGCGCGCTGGGGGAGGGGAAGCTCCGGGTCAAGGAGCAAACCCGGCACAAGATGGCGGCGGTGGCGGCAGTGGAGGCGCGTAGGAGGCGGTGAGGAGCTCGGATCCCGGGGGCGCGCACGGGACGCCCCCAGGCCCCTAAATCCCGTATCTGTTCTTCTTGTATGTTCTCCTGAGACTCCGCCACCCCCGGCCTCGTGAGGACTCTGTTTCTCTGGAGCCGGCCTCAGGTTTCCCCAGCCTCCTCGCATTAGATCCGCGCGGCGTTGGGGGGCCCTTGTTTCTGGGGCACCGGACCGGTGGCTTTAGAAGGCCGCAGCCGTGCGTTCTTCTTGGTCTGGGCCGCTCTCAGTCGCCGCCCTCCCTGGCGGATTGCGGCGGTTAAAGCTGCCGCCTCTTTCCTGCAATGCGCGGGGCCACCGGGGCGGGGGACGAGACGCGGCCCAGCCTCCGGGAATGCAGCCTGGTGCCCTGCGGCCCCCAGCCGGGCTGGAAGCACCGTAGCCGGCAGTCTTGCTTTCCACTGCCCTTGCCCTTCTCTCGAGAGGCCCGGACCCTGCCCTGCCCTGGTCTTCACGTGGACACCATCCCTGGCTTGTTCGGTGTTCACGGTCGTTGGGCACGGCTGGGGCAGGATCTCGTAAGTTCACAATCAACCTGGATGATGTTACTCAAACACAACAATGATTTTGGTCTGCGTTCTGTAGTTAATATTACTGAAAGAACGGCTTGAAACAGCCATTCAGCGCCACAAAGTATTTACCAAGATCTAACGGATGTATTAGGGTGGGGAGAGGCGTGTACTGTTGGCAGCAGTGGAAAAGCATGGATCGTAAATTCTATTCTGGAAACCTGTGATCTGAAACAATAAACGGGTGCACCTTTCCCTGCGAGTCATTCCTAACCTTGGCTTGTGACCACCTCTTGCTCAGGGGCGTTCGAGGCCTTCCGGAGTTCTTAGGGCCTTCCAACAGGTTACATCTGAAAAATCTTTCAGAAATCTTACCCACATTGGCATCTCTCCAAACCCATTTTATGGATGTTGCAAATAAGACTCCAGAGAGTATTTAACTCAGAGTACTTCTGATTACTTCTGCTTTGGGCCGGTAGACATGGGGTCAGTGGCTCAGGGTGTCTGCTGCAGTCACTCCTGCTGGGGGTAGGGGGGCACATGCCTTGCTTTTGAGTTTTCTGGGAGCATTTCTTCTGCTTGTTTTGCTGCTCCTTGTCTCTGCTTGGCCTATTAAACGACAAAGCCTGGTGTTTTCCTCACCTTTCTGTCTGGCCTGGTATGCCTTGCCTTTTCTTCTGGAACTGGAGGGCTTACTCTGTTCAGTAATCTCCTTCCTGGTGAATTTCTTTACCTTTAGCTTTCCAGCAGATACCGAGGCCAGTGGTGGATACCATGTGTTTAGTAGGCCCTACTCTTTGGCTACCCTATTAGCAAGTAGCAGGGTTTGAGTAGTGAGAAGGCTGTTTTGTTTTTCCCTCTCCTATATGGAATGCTTTCTCAAAGTGTGCTACTAGATCAGTCACTGGGAAGAATGCAGATTCCCTGGGACCTGAGAATTTTCCTTTAACAGTCACTGCGCATAATTCTTAACAGACACTAAAGTTGGAGAATGCCTGTTTAGGATGTACTCAGAATGGGTGAATATATCCTTAACAAAGTAACTTGCTTCAATAAACCTGTTAGTCCCTTGTCTGTCGTTTGATAGCATGTTGGGGAAGTGGCAGGTGTGTAGTAACCTTAGGGTGATGGTCCTCAGTGAGGCAGGGCCTGCTGGTGCCTGGTGCACTGTGCTGTACATCATGAAGTACCTGAGCCCCAAAGTCACACAAGAGTTCAGTCCTGCTGTCACCTCATACTGTCTGTTCAGTCTTGGATGAATTATTGAATCTTTTATGTCTCAGTGTACCCATCTGAGATAAACTCCAATCCTACATTCACCAAGAAAACAAAGGGAAAAGAGTTAGTGCATAAAAAGTTGGTTCTGAACACTGGTTGCCCATTAGAGCTGTTTTGTTATTGTTTAGTCGCTATGTCATGTCCAACTCTTTTTCGACCCCATGGACTGTAGCCTGCCAGGCTCCTCTGTCCATGGGATTTCCCAGGCAAGACTACAGGAGTGGGTTGCCATTTCCTTCTCCAGGGGATCTTCCCCACCCAGGGATTGAACCCACATATTCTGCATTGCAGGCAGATTCTTTACCACTTAGCTGCCCCAGAAGCCTTAGAATTATTTAGGGGAGTTTCAAATCTGATGCCCAGGTCCTACTTCAGGCCAGTTAGATCAGAACTTCGGGGTGAGACCTGGGCATTGACACTACTGAAAACTACAGATAGAGTTAAAAACTATATAATGCAGTTAGCCAGGCTCCTAGATGTATATTAGTACTCCGTACAAGTTGAAAGTGAAAGTCGCTCAGTCGTGTCTGACTCCTTGTGACCCCATGGACTATATAGTCCATGGAATTCTCCAGGCCAGAATACTGGAGTGGGTAGCCTTTCCCTTCTCCAGGGGGTCTTCCCAATCCAGGGGTCGAACACAGGTCTCCCACATTGCAACCAGATTCTTTACCAGCTGAACTACAAGGGAAGCTCAGTACAGATTAGCTCTTGTTATTCAAGCTCAGGTGGTGATAGTGGTAACATGTGTCAAAGTTACAGGAGTGGAGGTCCAAGGAGCAGGATGATTAGAGCGTTAGGGGTGTTAGGACCCCAGGAAGTGTGACCAGCAGGCTAGCCAAGGGTACATCTTTAACTTTTTCTCTTCCACTCCCCTCAGTGGACAGGCATGGCTTAACTTTGTTTCTGTGTTCCACACATGTGATCCCACCACCTCCCCTGGGACTGGCTGTTACTGTGACTTTCCTTCGAGAGGCTGATGTAACCTGAGTCAATACCTGGCCTCTGAAGGCCAAGGATCCTTTGTCCACTTCCTCTGCCTTTTGAAGGGAAGGTGTGAGTGAGCCAAATTCTCAGGCCTTAACACTTAACCCTGGGTCCAGTTTGCCTTCTTTTGCTGTTTAGTGGGAGTCTTAGCTTGCTCCCCTTTTAGGGTTGTGATGGGAAGAGGCCCTCACTTCTGAAGTGGGGCCCTTTCTGACCCTGCTCTGATTATTTCCTCGTCATCCTTTTCCTTCTAGGTCTTGGACCGCTTTGGTACTGGCCTGTTTAGGGGTCTGTCTGGGAATTACCTTCGCTGTGGATAGAAGCAACTTCAAGACCTGTGATGAGAGTTCCTTCTGCAAGTATGCTATTTTTGGGAGACTGGAATGGAAAGTAGGGTGATGTGGGAGGTATCTGGCAGGTGAGGTAGCGTGGGTCACTGCAGCTGATGGAAGGACTTAGGGGCCTCAGGGAGCCCTACCCCCTTCTCAATTGTTTGACTTGACAGGAGGCAGCGAAGCATACGGCCAGGCCATTCTCCCTACCAAGCCTTACTGGACTCTCTGCAGCTTGGTCCTGATGCCCTGACAGTCCATCTGATCAACGAAGTCACCAAGGTCAGGGGAGAAAAGGAAGAGTCAAATGGGGGTGGAGAAATGGCCAGGGGGCAATTGGGGAAGGGGAAACCTATGGCCCACATCCCATGCCATCTAACCTTGGGACTTTTACTTTGTGAGGAATTCAGGTCTCAGATCCCTTAGGCAAAGGGCCAGAAAGAGGAGATCCCCTCAGGAGCGAAGTGGGTTCAGAGGGCATTCCTTGGTGTAGCTCTTTCCTTTCTCCACTCCCTGACTTCTGCCCCCACAGGTGGTGCTGGTTCTGGAGCTCCAAGGACTTCAAAAGAACATGACTCGCATCAGGATCGATGAACTCGAGCCTCGGCGGCCCCGATACCGTGTGCCAGATGTGCTGGTGGCTGATCCCCCCACAGCTGGGTAAATTTCCCCTGAGAAACATAGCCACCTCCATGGCCCTTTCCTCCTTCCTAAGGAACCTTTATCTGGCGGATGACTTTCTTTTCCACGTTGGGGTAATAGATGAATAGCACCTTGTTGCTCTCCTCAACCTTCCTTCATCTCCTCCTTTGTTTCAGTTGTTTTCTATGTTGATTGACTGGCTGAGCCACATGGCTCATGGGATCTTCGTCCCCCCACCAGTGATTGAATCTGCACCCTCAGCAGTGAAAGCAGAGTCTTGACCACTGGACCGCCAGGGGACCCCTGGCTTGATTTCTCTTTCACCCTTTACCTTTGTGCCTTCAGCAGACAAATACAGCTTTCTCAATATAAGAGGAAATCAGCAAGGCCATGGAACTTGCCTTCTAGGAATACAGTGTCTCTGTAATTGGTTCCTCCCTTCCCTTCCTGTCCTGTCCCACTGTCTTGTCTTGTCTGTTTCTTCTTTTCTGGTGTCTTTTTTTCTTTCTTTCCTCCCTCCCTTCCTCTCTCCTCTCTTTCTCCCCAAGGATTCAGGATGGGATTATTCAAGTACGTGGGCCATGACACACTCACATTGTTCCTTGCATGGCTCTCTGTTAAGTGTTTAACTCAGAAAATACCATGATAAACCCTTCACCCAACCCAGACACATAACATCTCACTGCCCTGTACCCCTGACTCCTTCAGAGGTGATTGTTACTCAGACGTTCATTGCTCCCTTGTTTCTTTGTTCTCACAGTTATGTTGTGAGTGTATGTGTACACACAGATACACACACATACATATGTGCATGTGCCTAAGCGATAAGTTATGTGATTTTGTTGGTTTCTGAGCTTTTGTTTGTCTTGAGTTTCGTAGGGAAAGTATTTTAGTGAATGAGACCTTTTGAGATTTCCTTTTTTTTCACTTACGTATATAACTCTGTTGCGTGTAGCTTTAGAAATTCATTTTTACCGCTGTATAATATTGTGTTATATGAATATATCCCAACTTAACTTCTCCATTTCTGTGTTAATGTGCATTTGGGTTCTTTCCAGTGTTTTACTCTTCACTGTGTTGGCTTGAACATTCTTGTCCATGTCTCCTGTCTCCCTGTGCAGGAGTTTCTCTGTGATGTATTGCTAAGAGAAGAACTACAGAGTGTAGAATATGGAAATAATGAACTTTCTAAGATAAAGCCAAAGTGGCTTGCCAATTTACACTTCCACCAGCTATATATGAGACTTACTGAATTGCATCTTTTCCAACCCTTGGTACTATTGGACTTAATTTTTGTCAGTGGGAAGGCTGTAGGATGATGCCATGTGATGGTCTTGGCTTGCTTGTCTTTGCAGGTTATTAATGATGTATTGAGCACGTCCTCATCTTTTGTTTATCTGTCATTCTGGTTTACTCTTCTGTGAACTGGAAGTTCACGGCTCTGCTCATTTTCCTTTCATGTTGTTTGTCTTTGCTGATTTGTAGAAATTCGTTAGTCTTGATACCAGTTCTTTATTACATACATGTTTTACAGCTGTATTTTCCTGGGTTGTAGCTTATCTTTTCACTTTTCAAAAATTATAGAATAATTTCAGATTTATAGGAAAGTTTCAAGAATATTATGAGAGTTCCTCTATACCTTGAATTCCTATTTTCCCCTGTTGTTCAACATCATTGTTGTATATTTGTATGCCTAATGAATAGATCATTATTGTTAACTAAAGGTCTTTTACAAATTTTTTTTTAATTTTGATTTTTTTCATTTTTTTAGTTGAAGTGTAGTTGATGTACAATATTATGTAAGTTACAGGTGTATGATATAGTGGCTCACAGTTTTTAAAGGTCTTATTCCATTTATAGTTAGTATAAAATACTGATTATGTTCTGAGTTGTACAATATATTCTTGTAGCTTAAAGTCCATACTTTATTGTTTCCGACAGTCCCATTTAGGATTCTGTTTTATCTTTAGTTAAGTCTGCTTAGACTCCTCTAGATTGGGACAGTTTCTCAGACTTTTTTCTCATTTTTGACTGCCCTTAAGGTATCTGTCAATAAACCAAAATTCTGAAGTTTATGTTGTCAGGTATATCAGTCTGGTGTTCACAGTTTCTAAGTTGTGTTTAAATAATCTTTCTCTATCTCAGAGTCAGAAAAATGTTTCTTTATATTTTCTTCTAAAGGTTTTACTTGAACATTTTAAGTCATAATCTGTCTGGAGTTGTTGTATCTGAAATGAGATAGGGTTGTGATACCATTTGTTTCCTCTACAGAAAATGTGTTTTTCCTATTATTGTTCATGTTTTTCCTCCTGACCTCACTGAACTGCCACGGTGCCTGTTACATTTCAAAGCTCTGAGTGAGCCTGGGTCTGTTTCCAGGCTCTTTATTTGGTTCCTTTGGTCAAACCTGTCTGCCCCTGTTCCGTTACCATACTTCTTGAAAGGCTCTTAGCGCTTGCCCCTCTTCTAAGTCTCGTGACTACTCTTGGCACTCTGCACATCCTTATATCCTTTTTGATCTCTTTCCTAGGCTGTCTATCTCTGGCCGGGATGACAACAGCGTGGAGCTCACCATCGCTGAGGGTCCCTATAAAATCATCTTGACGGCACGGCCGTTCCGCCTTGACCTACTGGAGGACCGCAGCCTTCTGCTCAGTGTCAACGCCCGAGGACTCTTAAATGTAGAGCACCAGAGGACCCCCAGGGTCTCGTGAGTACAGGGTCAAGCACTGAAGGAGACCTAGTGTGAAAGAACCTAGAGGTGTCGTAGGGTCTGGCACCGGGTCCCTGGGAGGAGACAGGGTGGCAGCAGCCAGGTGGGGGCTGGGGCCTGGGAGAAACTGGCCAGCAGGGAGGGTAGGAAGCAGGCCTGGGTCCTGTACAGACCAGGAGGCAGTCACTTTGGTCCGTCGTCTGTACCCCGGGCACCTCCTCAGGGAGGCCTGCCTAGATCTGCCTTTCCCTCTCCCCCTCTCACACCATCACATTTCCCAGATTTATTTTCTTCCTTGTTTTTGTTTTTGGTTTGGTTTTTGGTTTTTGGTTTTAATTTCCTCCCCTGCCCCACCTCTGGAAGTTTGTCGACTGAAACTCACGTTTATGTTTCTGTTTCTGTGTTGGTTTTGTACCCCCTTCCCCCTTCCCTACCCATCTCCTCCTGCCCCAGTTTCTCGGATAAAGTTAGTGTCACGCTCGGTAGCATTTGGGATAGGATCAAGAACGTTTTCTCTAGGTAAATCATGACCGCTGGTACTGTATCTGTTCCTCTGCCCTTACCTGCCCCTCACTCTGGCCCCCAAGGAAGGTCCCCAGACCTTTCCATGGCCTGCCCTTCATTCGCCCACTTACCCCAGCTGTATGGTCTCTGGTTCCTGTCCCCCATTCCCCTGGCTGGGAGCCCCCTGGGAGAAGGAAGATGAAATGTTGAACGTCCTTGAGGCGTGTAGGGAGCTTTTTGCTTTGCCAGGGGGTGGAGAGATGCTGCCTGTTGCTGGGGTTCCTGGCTCTCAGCTGGCATGCACTGAGGCCCTGGGCAGAGCTGCTTTCCAGCTGCCCTTGAAAGCATTCTTTGGCAGAATCTCTTGTTTAAGTCCCTGCATATAAGCCTGACTGTGTGTAGAGGCTTGACCATGGTTATGACTCACTTGCTTTGCAAAACCCTGTGTCAGGCCAAGAGGCTGAGGCCCAGTGAGGGAAGGTGGGGCCAGAGTCTCTTGGTAGAGGCAGCAGGGCCAGGACTGGCGTTCCAAACCCATGCCCTTGACCTGCCTGCCTGTCTCTTCTGGAACGCTGGCGGAGGCTGGTTGTTGGGCCTGTGTTTGGAAGGCGCCTCCAGGTGGCATTTACTTCTCATTTCCCTTTCTCATGTCTCTCCCCATCCTCTGCACACTTATCTGCTCACTGGGGGTCCCTCTTGAAGCTTTAACATTCAGTCCCTTCCTCCAATGCCTTCGTTCCTTTGGACCCTTGGCTCTCTATTCCCTCACCCCTCCTTCCACTAGCCCCTCGTCCCCGCCCCCTCTGGATTGGAGCAGACAGCTCTCCTACCTTCCAGGCAAGGATCAAAAGAGCCAGCTGAGGGCGATGGGGCCCAGCCTGAGGAAACGCCTGGGGATGACGACAAGGCAAGTCGGTGAGGGTGGCCAGTTGGAGCACAGGGCTGGCTGGGAGGTCGGAGGGGAAAGGCCCCCGAGAAATCTGAGCTTAGTCTTGCCATTAGGGATGGGATTTAGAAAACAGGCAAGGAAAAAGAGAGAACTGGTGTGTGATTGGGCAGTGGTCCACTTTCCTCCTTCCAGCCAGACGAGACCCAGGGGAAGCCAGAGCATGATGAGCCAGGAGCCTGGGAAGAGACGTTCAAAACTCACTCTGACAGCAAGCCTTATGGTAGGCGCTGGGAGAGCCTTGGGCAGGGGCGTAGGGGTCCTTGTCAGGCGACAGCTCCGGAGCTTACCTTTTGCTTCTCTTCCAGGCCCCATGTCTGTGAGTTTGGACTTCTCTCTGCCAGGCATGGAGCATGTGTATGGGATCCCCGAGCATGCAGACAACCTCAGGCTGAAAGTCACCGAGTGAGTACCGCAGTGACATCAGGATGGGAGGGAACAGGTCAGAAGTCAGGGCTGTGGGGGCTGTGCATGCAGATTGGGTGCTCCAGATGAGCCTGGATCACTTCCCGTGCCCAGGGCGCCTTTGGCGGTCAGACTTTCTGCTTGGAGAAAGGGCAGAGGGGCCAGTGTTTATGCTTCATCTTTGTCTACGGGCTGGGGGCTGTGTGCGCCACGGTCAAGGGTTGGTCTGCCTGCCTGCAGGGGTGGGGAGCCGTATCGCCTCTACAATTTGGACGTGTTCCAGTATGAGCTCTACAACCGCATGGCCCTGTATGGGTCTGTCCCCGTGCTCCTGGCACACAGCCCCCTTCGGGACCTAGGCATCTTCTGGCTCAACGCTGCAGAGACCTGGGTTGACATATCCTCCAACACTGCTGGGAAGGTGAGAGCACAGGCGTGGGGAGGGATCAGCGGGCCTTGAGTCAGACGCACGTGCTGGGCCATTTGCTTCGAAGAGGTTGGTGGGTGGCCTGTCTGGATACCTGTTGGGATTGGGTGAGAGACGGGCCTTGGCCTCGTGAGCAGCATACGAGTTCCCCAGTCATTCCCAGAAGACACACACCCATGGGGAAGGTGTTTACCTTCCTGCATTTATCATCAATACGTTTATTATTGAGTTTGCATCAAGAGCTAGACCGTTTTATCCATGTGGGGAAAACACTGTATGTTGAGTTAGGAAGACGACAGAGGTTAAACAGGTAACAGAAGTCTAGATGAGCTTAGTGGTGGTGAGTGCTGCAAAAGAAATACAGCAGTTGTGGGGGGTGGGGGGAGGATGGACAGGGCTGCTTGTGAGGGGGCCGAGGGAAGCCTCACTGAGGAGGTGATGTTTAACTCCAGCCTGAAGTGTCTCAAGGAGCCCACTGTGAGAGCACTCAGGAGAACACTGGCTTGGGAAGCAGGAGGGTGGGGTCAGACCTCTCTCTGGTCCTCCCTGCAGACCCTGTTTGGGAAGATGCTGGACTACCTGCAGGGCTCTGGGGAGACTCCACAGACTGACGTTCGCTGGATGTCTGAGAGCGGCATCATCGATGTCTTCCTGATGCTCGGGCCCTCTGTCTTTGATGTCTTCCGGCAGTACGCTAGTCTCACAGGTATGTGGCCTCCCTATTCCATCGGCCTGCAGCCTGCTTTCCTGATCCTTGTCTCCCCGAGAAGGGTGACTGTGCATTTTCAGCAATCCTGTGCCTCGGCCTGTTCTCTGGCTCGATCCCCTTGTATCTCCCTGAATTTCCAGGCATCCCCATTGGCTCCAGATTGAGCCTGACCCCGCTGTGACCCCATCCCCCCCACCCCGAACCTGCAGGGACCCAGGCATTGCCCCCGCTCTTCTCCCTCGGCTACCACCAGAGCCGCTGGAACTATCGGGATGAGGCTGACGTTCTGGAAGTGGATCAGGGCTTCGATGATCACAACCTGCCTTGCGATGTCATCTGGCTGGACATTGAGCATGCCGACGGCAAGCGGTATTTCACTTGGGACCCCAGCCGTTTCCCTCAGCCCCGCAATATGCTTGAGCATTTGGCCTCCAAAAGACGGAAGGTAAGAGGGCTGTAGCCGTGGTTGGTTTTCTCAGGCACGATATCCTTGGAGAGCTCTGACCACCCATGGTCCTTGCCCACAGCTGGTGGCCATTGTGGACCCCCACATCAAGGTGGACTCTGGTTACCGCGTACATGAAGAGTTGCAGAACCTGGGTCTATACGTTAAAACCCGGGATGGCTCTGACTACGAAGGCTGGTGCTGGCCAGGTAGGTGGGCCCAGAAATGAGGGGGTATGAATGGGAGACCAGGGAGCTATCGTGGAGGCCGGTTTGCCCTTCGTGGGTTGAAAGCCATCCTTGACTTCTAGGCGCAGCTGGTTACCCTGATTTCACCAATCCCAAGATGAGGGCCTGGTGGGCTAACATGTTTCACTTTGACAATTACGAGGTACGGCAGCCTGTCTTTCCCACACTACCTCTTGGAGTCAGTCTCTGCCTGCCAACCCTGCTGTGGTTGGTTGCTTGTAAGATATCAGGGGCCTTGATGATCCTGGCAGGACCCTGAGAGGTGCATCTTGCTGGACTCCCAGGAGCTCTCTGCTCTCACACTGTTCGTTGTCTTCCTCCGCTCTGTCCTCTGTTCCCATTTTCCGCCTTGTGTTCTCAGGGCTCAGCTCCCAACCTCTATGTCTGGAATGACATGAACGAACCGTCTGTGTTCAACGGTCCTGAGGTCACCATGCTCAAGGATGCCCAGCACTATGGGGGCTGGGAGCACCGAGACGTACATAACATCTACGGCCTCTATGTGGTAAGGGGGCGAGGAAAGGCCGGGGCCCGAGAACAGGCACTGATGGCAGCTGGCTTTGCTCCTTACCGCCTCTCTTTCCTGTTCCCATGCAGCACATGGCGACCGCAGATGGCCTGGTGCTGCGCTCCAGGGGCATCGAACGCCCCTTTGTCCTGAGCAGGGCTTTCTTTGCTGGCTCCCAGCGCTTCGGTAAGATTTGGAGGAGAGATTTGGCAGAAGGACCTGGGTCTGGTTCTAGGGGAAGTCTGTCCATGCAGCCATTTTCTGAGAGTGGTGCGCTTCCTCCCAGCTGTGCATTTAAAGGGAGGCAGGGCATGGGGTGGCCAGTCCCTGTTTGAGTGCTCTGGTGAACTCCGCCACTTTCAGCAGGACCCTGGGGGCCCCAGAGCAGGTGTGACAGGTCAGAGAGGTCAGCTGTCTTAAAGGCTGAGCCCTTCACTGTAAGTAAATGCCTGCCTTCTTCTCTTCCTCAGGAGCCGTGTGGACTGGGGACAATGCTGCTGAATGGGACCACATGAAGATCTCCATTCCTATGTGTCTCAGCTTGGGGCTGGTGGGACTTTCCTTCTGTGGAGGTAAGAGAAGGAGGAATCCGGGGCCTTGATTTGGTGGGAGAGGGGCAAAATAGGGGGCACAGACGGACCCTAGGCTTGAGCAGAGAACCGCTTACCCAGGCCGGGGCCTCTGGGGGGCTCCTTAGACCTCCCTCACCCTCTTTCTAACTTGCTTTCTCCCTCCCCTCTCCAGCGGATGTGGGCGGCTTCTTCAAAAATCCAGAGCCAGAGCTGCTTGTGCGCTGGTACCAGATGGGTGCCTACCAGCCATTCTTCCGGGCTCATGCCCACTTGGACACTGGTCGGCGAGAACCGTGGCTGTTACCGTCTCAGTACCACGACATAATTCGAGATGCCCTGGGCCAGCGATACTCCTTACTGCCTTTCTGGTACACCCTCTTCTATCAATCCCATCGCGAGGGGATCCCGGTCATGAGGTAAGGCATTCACTTGGGTCTGTGGAAAGTGGACTGAGGTGGCTGGGAGACAGTGGGGATGACGGGGCTCCATCTCTGGGCTCTTTTCTTCATTCACCAGGGCCTTGAAAAGGAGGGAAATCTGATTGCAAGGGGAAGAGTGAGAAGAGACCAGTAGGGATGAATAGCAGCTAACGTCCTGAGTGCTTATGTCATGCCAGGCATCATCCATCACTACCCGCAGAGCCCGAAACAAGTTACACAAGTGTCCTGTCCTTGTGAGGAAGACAGAGACGTGTAGACAAATATGTAAATAGGAAAATTGCCAACACTGACAAGCTGTTTGTAAAAAGTAGAACAGGGTAATGGAATTAAGTTCCACAAACAGGCCATGTAAAGATGAGGCCTGACTGATGAGTAAGACAGCCACTTGTGATCCAGAGGAGCAATGTTCCAAGCAGGAGAGACTGCAAGTGCATACATTATGAAATGGAAACCAGTTTGGTGTGTTCCAGGAGTAGGAAAAAAAACAAAACAAAACAGTGTGTTTCAGGGGTAACGAACCAGAGGGAGAGGTAGGTGAGGTAGAGTGGAAAATAGGACCTGATCCTGGAGGGCCTTTTAGGCCAGGATAATAAAGTGGCCACTGGAAGGTCTCTCTGCAGAACATTTTCCAGAAGGAGCCGGGGAGGAGGCAACGAAGGTGGGTTGGGAAACCAGATGTCTGGTCCAAGGTTAGGTTGCACAACTGAGGCCTTACTGGCTGCCAGATCCAGGTCTTACCCCTGTGCTCTTCTTATTGCCAGTTCCTAGGGTAGCATCTTTGACTTCCACCAAAACAGCAGGTGTCTTCCATTCTTGTCTTGCTTCCTTCCTAGGCCCCTGTGGGTGCATTATCCTAAGGATGTGACCACTTTCAGTATAGATGATCAGTTCCTGCTTGGTGAGAAACAAGGACAGTCAGTGGTGGGTTGGGGTAGGGCTGAGAAGCAGGAAGCCCTGTGGGGGATGTGTCTGTGGATGTACAGGAAGGGAGGAGGGTCAGAGGCCGCTGGTGCAAGGGGGCAGGTGCTTTAGGGCTCCCTCTTTGGGAACTGATCCCCCCAATTCAGAGTGGATTCTGCCATGTTTTAGGGGATGCATTGCTGGTTCACCCTGTATCAGACTCTGAGGCTCACGGTGTGCAGGTCTATCTGCCTGGCCAAGGAGAGGTGAGTTAAGAAAGGGCGTGGTGGGGGAAAGAAGGTGGAGGTCAGAGAGGGTGAAGAGTGTGGGGTCCTCTGTGCAGTGAGTGACCGAGGCTATCTTCTGCACCCACAGGTATGGTATGATGTTCAGAGCTACCAGAAGTATCACGGTCCGCAGACCCTGTACCTGCCTGTAACTCTAAGCAGCGTGAGTATGCCTGACCCAGCTGCCAGCTCCATGTGCCTCTAGGTTTCCAGAAGGGGGGGAGAGTGTGTATGCTGGAGTCCAGTTCCTAAGGGGGCACAGACTTGCAAGAGGCACAGCATGGCTGCTTCATCCCGGCACTGGTCTCGCCCTAGATCCCTGTGTTCCAGCGTGGAGGGACCATCGTGCCCCGGTGGATGCGAGTGCGGCGTTCTTCAGACTGCATGAAGGACGACCCCATCACTCTCTTCGTTGCACTCAGCCTCCAGGTGAGTGCGTGGGCAGGGAACCGCCACCTCCATCTGTCCGCCCTCCAGGAATGCAGTCCCCCAGGGCAGGTGCCCCTCACTGCCTCCAGGGCTCAGGCTCTCACCTGTCCCACGTCCTGCTCAGGGTACGGCCCAAGGAGAGCTCTTCCTAGACGATGGGCACACGTTCAACTATCAGACTCGCCATGAGTTCCTGCTGCGTCGGTTCTCGTTCTCCGGCAACACCCTGGTCTCCAGGTAAGGAGGAGCCCTTTCTTCCTCGGCGGCCTTTGCAGGACGAGGCGTCTGGGCCCCGGGATGCGCGCAGCTCGCTGTGCTCTCCTCCTCTCTGTTCTGATCATTGTTTTCCTGCTGGGTGTCCATTTTTGCTTCTTCCAGCTCCGCAGACCCCAAAGGCCACTTTGAGACACCAATCTGGATTGAGCGGGTGGTGATAATAGGGGCCGGAAAGCCAGCAACCGTTGTACTCCAGACAAAAGGTGAGTGATCTGGCCCCCGGGTTGGGGACCCCTGCCTATGGGAAAGTAATTGTTCTTCATCCTGGCACTCTTTCTTCCTCCTCCACCAGGATCTCCTGAAAGCCGCCTGTCCTTCCAGCATGACCCTGAGACCTCGGTGTTGATCCTGCGCAAGCCTGGCGTCAATGTGGCATCTGACTGGACTATTCACCTGCGATAACTGAAGGGATGTTGGGGTGGGGTGTGATGGTCATGATAGTTACTCTTCTTTCTGCCCTGGAGTTTGACCTTCCCCAGACTTCACCTTTCTTATCTCAAGATCCAGGTTTCTGCCAGCATCTGGGCAGGATGAGAGGGCTCTCCCTGGGTCTGAATTTCTTTTGTGATCTCCCGACCTCTCCCACCCCACTGACACTAAATCTCCCATCATCTCCAAATATCCTGTTGCTCTAACTGGAGCACATTCACCTGTGAAGACCTGGGGATCACAGGGCTCTTGCTGCCCTTCGCCTTCTTTTGGGAGCCCTCAGTCTCCTCCACACCCTCTCCATTTGTTTCCCTTGCGTGTCGATGCCATTTCTTGGAAGAAGATGACGGCAGTGAGCTTTCGGCCTCCTCTTCTCCTTCCTTCCCCACCAGACTGCTCCTTCCTCCTTTTATTTCTTCCTTCTTGTTCTTCTCTGTTATCAGCCCTCCCCTGATACACTGGGACCACCCCTTACCCTGAGAAGGGATGAATGGATCAAAGGAGTGAGGTTGCTGGAAATCATTCTCTTCCCTGGCATCCCAACCTTTCCTCTCTCCGCTTCTATCTAGAGCTGCTGCGGTTCTGACAGGGGCGTTCTGTCTCCCCTGTCCCTTGGGGGAAAGAAGTTTACAACACTCCTCAAGATGGGGGTGGGCAAGACTTCTTTTGCCTCCTAAAATTTTGTCCCCTTGAGGGGCATTCAAGATGGAGAAATCACTTGTGGTTTCATGGAATCACGGTCACCTGTATTTATTGCTAGGAGGAGGCCGAGGGTGGGGGGACATGATCATGTGTGCCCAGGGCTGACCTAAGGCCCTGGGTGGTGGGTGGGGAAGAACTCACTGGGGACAAGGGGTGGGGATATTTGTGGGAATTTTTTTTTACTTCCTTTTGGCCCCCAGCTGTGACAGGTTTTGATAAAAGGAGAAACAATAAAGAGAGAAACCATTAATTACTGTTGGTGTCTGGATTCTAGTTCTGGGTTGAGCCACAGACCCTTAAAAGCCGAGGACCTGACATTTTCAGCCTATGCCTCGTTGCTTGAGCAGAAGAGTTCAAGCCTTCATCAGCTTGCTTGATGCCAATACGTCACGAAGGAACCCAGCAAGATTGTCAGACTTTAGTGGGCCTAGTTCATAGTGGTGACTAGAGCTAATGGGGTCCCTCTAGAAATAGCTCTATGTTAGATGTTCTCACACTTAAGACTGCTTTTCTTTTTTTAAAATTTATTTTTGGCTGTGCTAGGTCTTCACTGCTGCATGGACTTTTCTTTTCCCAGTGGGGACTGGGAGCTACTCATTGCAGTGCACAGGCTTCTCATTATGGTGGCTTCTCTTGTTGCAGAGCATGGGCTCTGGGGCGCTCGAACTTCAGTCGTTGTGGCTCATGGCCTCAACAGTTGCAGTTACTGGGCTCTAGAGCACAGACTCAATACTGGTAGTGCACAGGGGCTTCCTTGCTCCCCAGCACATGGGATCTTCCCAGACCAGGGATTGAACCTGGGTCTCCTGCGTTGGCAGGCGGATTCTTTACCACTGAGCCACCATGGAAGCCCAAGACTGCTTTTCTTTAGCAGTATTAAACAAATTTGCGTTTGTATCAGTGACAGGAGATGGTTTCCTCCATTTTGCAGATTGACCACAGTCTTAGAGATTATCTTAACAAGAAACTAGGTTGGTTTGGGAAAATTACTGCTTAGGATGGTTTATGCCGGTGAGGAGTTAGGGGGTGTGTTCAGGAAATTACTCTGCTCAAGAAATATTTCCAGTTAATTCCCTGGGAGATAGCACATTGCATCCCACCCCCATCCCTATCATCAGACGTGTAGGAAGTGTGGGTCAGAGGAAAAACAATACAGGATCCTGGAGTCAGGTATCTAGAAGGCACATCAAAAATCGCACAGTGGGGATTACATTATTTGGGGCAATCTTAGTGACTTACCTGTAAGATGGAGACAAAAATCTATCTCACACACAAGTGGACAGGTACTGTGACAACGCTGAAGAGCAATTTGCTCTTAAACTACTGCTGGATGTGCTGGGAAAACACTATCGATGTAAACTCTTCATCCCAGAAAGGGACCTGATTCCAAGTGGCCGTACTAGGACAAGAGGTTGATTAATCATTAATGAAATACCAGAAATGCCCTCTGCTATATTCCACTTAATTACTATGTTTTTGCACTTTTGCCATGATCAAAATTCTGCAACATCAATTTTTAGACTGATAGTATTCTAAATTGTGGTCTTCCTTGGTTCATACGGTAAAGAATTTGCAATGTGGGAGTTCCAGGTTCAATTCCCGGAAGATCCACTGGAGAAGGGAATGGCTACCTACTTCCACCAGAGAGGAGCCTGGAGGACTATAGTCCATGGGGTCACAAGGAGTCACACACAACTGAGCAACTAACACACAGTCATCCTAAATTGTATTAAAATTATCAAAGGATTATAGTGAGGATTATATGAGACAACCAGAGCACAGGTTTGGCAGTTCAGTTCAGTTGCTCAGTCATGTCTGACTCTTTGCAACCCCAGGCTTCCCTGTCCATCACCAACTCCTGGAGCTTGTTCAGACTCATGTCCATTGGGTCAGTGATGCCATCCAATCATCTCATCCTGTCGTCCCCTTCTACTCCTGCCTTCCATCTTCCCCAGCATCAGGGTCTTTTCCAAAGAGTCAGTTCTTCACATAAGGTGGCCAAAGTATTGGAGTTTTAGCTTCAGCATCAGTCCCTCCAATGAGTTATTCAAGACTGTTTCCCTTTAGGACTGACTGGTTTGATCTCCTTGCAGTCCAAGGGACTCTCAAGTCTTCTCCAACACCACAATTCAAAAGCATCAATTCTTCCGTGCTCCGCATTCATTATAGTCCAGTTCTTACATCCATACATGACTCCTGGAGAAACCGCAGCTTTGACTATATGGACCTTTGTCGGCAAAGTAATGTCTCTACTTTTTAATATGCTGTCTAGGCTTGGCAGGGCTGTAGATTTCACTCATTCGTGTAGCAATTATTGAACTACTGTTACTGCGTGCAGGGACTGGTGGATGGGTGAGTGAATGAATATAAGAAAATATGCTCACAGGAACTGGAGATCAGGGCGGAGGGTCTTAAGCCACTCCCAGGGTACCTTACCTGGCTCCTGACCACCGGCCACGCGCTCTTGACACGCCGGATATGACGTCACCCACTCCCGTAGTTCCCAGAACTAGGCAATGGGACCGGAAATTACCCAGAGAGAGGGAGGTGTGTGTGTGTGTGCGCATACTGACCGGAAGTGGGCCCAGACGGGCGCTGCCAGCGCTAGCTCCTGGGAGCCGCTCAAGACTGGGAACCCCTTGTCCCCACCGGACCCCGCCTGCCCCGGCGGCGGCGGAGGCGGCGCGGCCATGAAGCTGAAGCTGAAGAACGTGTTCCTCGCCTACTTCCTGGTGTCGATCGCCGGCCTCCTCTACGCACTGGTGCAGCTCGGTGAGCGGGGCGGGGCGGGGGTGCGGCGAGTCGGCCGAAGGGCATCTCGCCGCTGTGCATCCCGCTCTGGGGATGAAACCCCGCGCAGACCCCATTAATCCGGCTCGGTCCTCCGACAGCCCCTCTGCGGCCCCTGGGCGCACTCCCCTCTCCAGAACGCACCGCGGCTGCCCGCCGCACCTCGGGTGAAATCAGACTCCTTCCCAGAGCCTGCCAGGCCCCGCGTGATCCCGCCGCCGTCTGCCTCTCTAACCCCATTTCCCATCCCTCTCGCTCGCTCTGCTCCAGCCACATTGGCTTCATGACAGTTTCTTGAAAACCCCACGCTCGTTGCTCTCAAGCACTTAACCTGTCTCTGCCTGTAGTGCTTTTCTCCCAGCTCTTCCCCAGCTGCCTCTTTCTCATCCTTCAGGTCTCAGCTCGCTTACATGTCACCGCCTCACAGAGGCCTTCCTTGACCACCTTACCTAAAAGTCACTCTTCTTACTCTGGGTTCTCGTTTAAGTCTCCCTCCTATTTGTTTCCTTCATAGCCCTTACCACAGTTTCTAATAATTTTATTAATTTGTTTCTTTGCTTAGTGTCCAGCTCCTCCACTAAACTGAAACCTCCATGAGGGCAGGGACCATGTCTGTTTGGTTTCCTGCTGCAGCCCGGCACCTAAGGCAGTGCCTCCCAGGAGGAGCATTCAATAAATATTTATCCAGTGATGGAATCAATGAATTTAATGAGTCTTTGGTCACACAGCCAATGGAACAGATTGAACCCTGCCTCTTATGCAGGGATTTAGAGACTGGGCCACTGCATGATTCTCAGGTATTTGAAAGACTGCCCCTGTTTTAGGAGATCAACTTGTTCGTTATGCTTCCAGAAGGCAAAATTAGGCTCAGCAGGTAGAAAGGAGGCAGGTGATCACTTTAATAGACACATGAAAATTGTAATGGATGGAATTGTCAAGTTGGAGAGGCGTTGCTAATTAAGGCAGTGAGTTCCTCACCACCCTGGGTGTAGAAGAGCTGTTAGAGCAGTTGTAAGGAGAGCCCCACATTGGTTAGTTGAATGGGAAGGTTAATGGCCCTTTGGGATGCTGAACATCCTGTGGTTCTCTGCCTCCATCCCTGTTTCCTGGGACCAGGCCAGCCATGTGACTGCCTCCCTCCCCTGCGGGCAGCAGCGGAGCAGCTTCGGCAGAAGGATCTGAGGATCTCCCAGCTGCAAGCCGATCTCCGTCGCCCACCCCCTGCCCCTGCCCAGCCCCCTGAACCCGAGGCTCTGCCTACTATCTATGTTGTTACCCCCACCTATGCCAGGTATGGGCTCTGATGCACCCAGGATCTGCATGGACCAAGAGGCTGGGGTTGATGATGAGTTTCTGGTTGATGATGAGGAGGCACTGGGCCAGGGGATGTTCCTCAGGCTAAGGCATTACCAAATGTCAGGCTAAATGAACCACATCATTACTCAGAGATCTTGGGGAAATTGTTTTTTTTCCTATTACCTAGATGGGAGGACTTCCCTGGTGGTCTAGTGGTTGAGACTCCAGGCTGCCCACGTTGGGAGTGCGGGTTCAATCCCTGGTCAGGAGCTCCAGGATCCTGCATGCCATGTGGTGTGGACAAAAGATAAAGAATATAGACAGGGATGTGCCATGAAGTAGTGTAAAAAATTCCTGAGAAATTTTAAGATACAACAATAAAGTTTCAAAGAAATTCTGAATTTGCCAAGTGAGTTCACTCTGTCTCCTTAGGGAACCTTTGGTGAGGAAGTTTGAGAACCCCATGACTAACATAAAGTAGAGAAGGACTTGGCCATACAGTCGTATGGTGGTCTAGAAATAGTTACACCAGCTGTTAGTGTGTTTACTTTCTGCCCCACACTGTGCTAAGTGTGTTCCTTTTTTTTTTTTTTTTTTTAATAAAATGTAGCTTTATTAGTGATACAAACCAACTGGGGAATGTGGTGGTTTTTTTTTTTTTTGGAATGTGGTTTTGAAAGGAGCCAAAAGGGCTTGCTGACATCTGCCTGGAATCAGATGGCAGGCCCACCTAGGCTAGGCATCTTAAGACCCTCCACTCTCCATGCACACACTGCCAACCCTGGGGCCAGCAGGCCCATCTGAAGGGCAAAGAAACTTACAAGAGACTCAGGGATGACCCTGGTTCAATCATTTTGGTCTAAGAAGGCACTGCCCTCTGCACAGCAACGACAGACATCAGGAGACAGTGTCTAGAAGACTCCCCCACCACAGACTCTGGTTCTGTATTGTCTATAGAACCAGAAATCAAAAGGAGACTTGGACTTCTCTGGTATTCCAGTGGTTAAGACTGTGCTGCCAATGCAAGGGGCACAGGTTCAATCCCTGGTTAGGGAACTAAGGTCCCACATGCCATGCAGCATAACCAAAAAGATAAAAATTTAAAAACATTACAGGGCAGGTGAGGGAATTACCTGGTGGTCCAGTGGTTAGGCCTCTGTGCTT